AGCCACAAGTTCAAGTTCGCAACTTTCAAACATTGGAACGAATTGCCAAGACTTTTTTGAACGATGATGCCTAGGTCTCGTTCACTAGTCACCTGTTGCAAAACTTGCTGTCCCAGAAGATTTATTGATGATGCTGCTACGCACCATCAGCAGCTGGCACTTTTCAGGATTCAGTGGGAGCTGGTTCCTTTCTATTTATTCATTAATCTGGTCCTGGTCGTTCTGAAGAAACGCACGGTCGGATGCTTAGCGAATTGCTCTTTATATTTTAGCATCATCTGCAAATATCTGCATAGAGGATAAAATCTTTCCCAAGAGGTCATTTATGTGATCGCTGAATCTCAGGCTCGTCCCTTCGAGACTCCCACTCCCCAACTAGGGACTGGAATCCGCGCTACCTTTCTCGACAACAATCAAAATCACTGGACCATGGCGAAATTCGCCATGACAGTGATGAGCTACGCCGTACCATGATTCATCCCGTCGTCGTTCATGCTTTCACTTTGTGACAATTTTGGTTAGCCTCAGCTTCACACAACTGCCAATGATCGATAGCATTACCGGCTAGCTTGAGCTAATGCTGAACTATTTCTACTGAAGTTATCACCGTAATCTTTGGGATAGCGGTTTTACTCACTGACTCGAAGATGTTGGGTCATAGATTCTAACATCTTATTGTGAAAACCCATTGCTGACAAGTCTAGAAAAGGTGAAATGGCCATTTTTATGACTGGCTAATTGTGTGCAGCTGTCACGTCTGTTCATGTTTGTCAATGCTGAAAATTCACGTTCACGAGTGCATGAAAGCACATTCTTAACTTGACTTGTACACTTGTCTTCGTTCGTTCTAAACTTGTATGATTTCTCGTTTTAACTTCACCGAGTACTAACTGTGACGTCTTTGTCTCAACTCGCTATACCACACAAAGTTAGTCGGCCTGGTTACTTGTGAACTTATCTTCCATTTTTTCCACCATGGATTGAGTTGATTTAATTTTCGGATTGCTCCCTAACCATTAACTTCTGGTTCCCAAGCGGGTAATGCGATTGTTTTTCAGCTCGTGCCATGCGTGCACCCTTGGATATTATCATCTGATTGTATTTGCATTCACAAATGCAACCCATTCTCCTTGTTATCCACAATTTTGTTGGCTTTCATTGTAAAACCAAACGCCATTGCTGCAGTCGCCTTCACTGTGTTCTGTCTAAACTATGAAATTGAATATGGTTTGACTAGTCTTTCGTCCTACTTGAATTTGTGAATTTTCAGTCACTTCTCCATTTCTTTCGATTAATACTTCACTAATTTTATCTAGTATGCTGTGCGATCGATGAGCGCCATTTTCCCCACCGTATTAATCGTTGTGGTTTCAATCACTACCTATTCCAGGAACGCCAAGAGTTGCACTGTGGTTTCGCTTGCTCCCCCTCACACCTACTATTCCCGCTTACCATTGAGCCCTAAATAATTGTGGTCATATTGCATCATCATCATTATACACGTTGGCTGCAGGTGGAAAACACCTCAGCTATTGTGCCGCAATACAAATGACGAGAAGAATAAATCAGTGGCACACCGACTGAGTCCCCAGTAACTGATGGACATCATTCCGGAGGGCTAACAGCCGGCTATCGTGCCTCAAAAAGTTATGCCTAACGAATGCGATCGTGTTTGGAGGGGGATGGACAAAGGAACTCACAACACAAACGCCACGGGGGCTGGCTTCTAGCCATATCAGCAAGTGTGTCCAACCAAGCGTGTTCATCGTCCTTAGGATCCCAGCCAGGTAGTCGGGATGCACCAACCGACGCCAACTTCCTACTGGGAGTTTTCACTTCTCTCGAGCAAGTCATCGCTTGGCCTCACCTCTTCCTCTTCCAACCGCACCCCCGGCGCGCAAACAATGCACTTCGCGAATTTCGGTGTGCTGGCATGCCCAACACGTGGCCCAGCCATCGGAGCCTGATGCGTGATATAATGATGCTGAGCGGTTCACTCTCTCTTCCTGCATCAAATACTCGACGGCGAACACGCTCATTGCTCACGCGGTGCTCCCATCAGACATGAACTAAACTGCGAAGGCAGCGATGATCGAATGTGACGAGCCTCTTTATGTCTGTCGACCTGATGGACCAGGTTTTACAACCATATAGGAGAGTTAAACGGACGACTGCGTGATAAACTCTGCCCTTCAGGACGGGAGTAATGTTGCGTCTGCGCCACAGGTGGCGGACATTGGCAGGAGCACCTCGAGCTTTTACTATACGGTTCGTGACCTCATCTTCAATCTCACTGGCGCTACTATAGCTGCCCATGTACTTGAATTTCTGAACGGCTTCTAGCAGATCACTAAAGAGCGTTAGCGCAGGGCTGGGTCCCTGCCGATCTTGGAAAAGTCCTTTGCATTTCGATGGAGCAAAGCATAGCCCAAAACGATTGATAGCCAGTGCTACTTGACATGTTTGGGAGCTGTCACAGATTAGGTCATTATCGTCCGCGTACTCGAAGTCAAGAAATCGCTCACCAGGAAGTAGCTCCACACCTTCTAGATCATATTCAGCGATCGCTGTTTCCATGACTTCATCAATAGCGAAGTTAAAGGGGGAAGGGTGACAGCAAGCATCCTTGTCTCACACCGCTGGTCATACTGAAGAGTGGCGACAGTTTGCCATAAACCCTCACTCTGCCCGAACTATGCGCGTACAGCGCTTTGATAATGTTTACATATCAGGCACACCTTTCCTCAGCAGACAGTCCCAAAGGGCACGTCGATCGATTGATACTGATACTGATTAGAAGCAGCAAGTAGGGCGTACTCTGTGTAGCTGCATCAATTGTCGCTCTTCGACATTAACGTATTAATTTACTCTCCGCTCTCTATATTTTGCCTCTGCAAAATGTTTGTCTAGAAGCTTCTTAAATTCGGCCATTGAATTCGCCTCTATTACCGGCTGCGGCAGGTTGTCCCAGGTATTCACCACTCTACGTTCGAAACAGAGTTGGTGAGCTACCCGCTTCATCTGCGGTACGATAAGTTTGTACCGGTGTCCTCGCGTGCTGCTTGGTGTGCGCAGATGAAACAATTGTCTCGACATGGGGTAAAACAGTTGTCTCAAGAAACACGACAACGGTGGGTCGCCAATAAACATTGCGGTGCTCCAACAATTGACGCAGGGTAAAGATCTGGTCGATGCAGTCCCGACCTCGACGGAATCCGGCTTGCTCTCCACGAATCTGGCTTTCATGAGTGCCAGTGAGTCTGTGGAGAATGACAGACGCAAGCAATTTAGTGGCAAATGAAATCAGACTGGTCACTCTATGATTGCGGCATTCCGAACGGGCGCCTCCCTTGAAAATTGGGACTATGATGGAGCGGATCCAGTCTGTCGTGACAGGCTGCTGCTCCCAAACTTTCACTAGCAACTCGTGTACATCTTCTGTTAGAGCAAGTCCCCCGAATTTTAAAAAGACTGGGGGAATTCTATCTGCCCCTGCGGCTTTATGTAGTTTCAACAGCCTGATCTCACGTTCGACTTCTGCGCGTGAGGGCAGATCCAAGGAGACGGCCCAGGGAGAAGGGCGCTCAATGCCCGAAAAAGGAACCGATAAGTCAGGTTGATTAAATTGTCTTTCAAAGTGTTCAGCCCATCACTCCAGGCGTTTTGACAGGCTGTGAATCGGCTGCCCACTCGTCGCGTATGGTCTCGCTAACACCAGATCTCCTGCTGCCTGTTTCCCGTATCAGATGGAATAACTTCCGATGATTACCAACGGTAGCGGCTGTTTCCATCTCAGAGGCACGATGAGACCACCACGCTTCTCGGTTTTCCTTCAGGCTAGGACGTAGTTTGGCCCTGAGATTTTTGCGAGCCTTATTGTATTCGCCTCCAGCCGGAATACGTTGGCGATCATCCATAAGTTCCAGAGATTGTGTAGCGACCCAGTGTCCAGTTTGGCAGTTTGATTTGCCACATGAAGACACCTGCTGATAGTAATGTTTGACGAATATGCGGCCAATGATCTTCGACGGTGTTCAGTGGGTGCTTACCGAGCCCGGATGTCAGCGCGCTTTGATACACATTCAGAACACCTGGTTTAGCCAGCTGGCTGGTGTTAATCCGTTCACATAGACGTTGTGGACGTCCACCGAAACGCACACGGAGGTCGGCACAGACAAGTGCGTGACCAGTGTCCACGCTCGTACTCCAAATCGAGCGACAGTTTTGGACACCGCCTCTCCAGCGGTAACTGATCGCGATACGATCGATTTGCGTCCATGGCTGACCCGAGGCTGGTGGCCGCCAAGTCACGCTTCTGCCGGTGCTGTGTCGAAAGTTTGTGCTCGCGAGAAAAACACGAGCATCTTCACACAGCTGTAGCAATCGCTCACCGTTATCATTATGGGAGCCTACACCATGTTGGCTGCACAGATGAAGCTCATCAGAGAACAATTTTCCGACGGGTGTTTAGATCGCCAGCCAACACCACAGTATCCGTGCTTCTTCTGTAACGAAAGAGATCGTGAAGTTGCTGTTAGAAATCATCTTTTACTGCATCAGTGCTACAGTTTTTAGGGGGCGTAGGCCGCAATGTCACACAGGTACCATTTGTTCCCGCGCAACTTCGTAGCACGGAACGAACCAGCTAATCTAACGGCGCACATTCGACTTTTGGCTGGGATCCAATCAATCATGGCCGCTTCAGCCCGGGGACTCGAAACAATGCCGACGCCAGCTTGACCGGCATTTGAAGTTGCATCATTGCCAGACAGGCACAATGAGAATGTGCCGCCAGTGTCACATGTGGGGGATCGCAGGGTAAGCACGGAGCTCGAATCTTGCAGGCGGGTTTCTGATAAACAGCACGCCTTATTGAAACCCTACTCTACTTTTTTCATGAACGTGGCTACTTTGCTCCATATCGTCATGAGCATTTCCATTTCGATCAGCTTTCTGCTTGTGTCATAAGTTCCCTTTTCAATTTCTATCTGTCCCCATAGTTCCCCCTTACTCTGATGACGCCAATATTACTTCTACCGGTCACGTTGATCTGCCAAGACCACTCGATGAAACGGACGCTGGAGCTGTGTCCGAACCGGCCACCGAGGCTACTTCTCAGCCATCCGTGCAGCCTGCCTCAGTTGTCGCACCCGCCCCCATGACTGACGAGGAAACCATTCAATCACTCGTTGAGGGTGGAATGGACCCCTCCTTCCTAGACGCCCTTCCCGAAGAAATGCGTCGAGAAGTCATTGCTGACCACCGCCACGCGAGACAGGTCCAACAACAGCTCAGTTCGCTTAGTCTTCCGGAGCACGTAAACACGGATTGGCTGGTCGGCCTACCTACTCACATTCAAGAGGAGGTGAGACAGCACCTGTGAATTTGAATTTTTCCAAACTCTAGAGACAGGAAAACTGTGTGTTTTGCGTGGCAACATTGCCGTCTCTTGCCGATATTCAATGCAATCGGCTCCATGATAACCACTTCCATCGTCATCTGTTGAAACACGCACACATAAGTGTGAATCTTCCGATTTTTCTGCTCGGGTTTTCAGTCGCTAGTTGCAGTTTTCTCTGGTTTTCCTTAAAGTCTTCAACCGTATTATTACGTACTTTTACTTGACATGGAGTGCGTGGTAGCCATGCAGTGTACAATGACCCTTAGGGCTAGAATAGCAATGATCACTCGAAGCTCTCTGGCATTTTCTGTCACTGTGGTCACTTTTATCTCTCTTTTCGGAGTCTTTCGCGCCTCGTAGTTCTCACTTCACCTCATTCTCCATAGTTGGATTGTGGTAGTGTACATTAGTGAGACTGCTTGCTCAGTCTTTAAACAGCTGCTCTCATAATTACCTTCGTTCCATATCATTTGACTTTTCCAATGTTGCTTTTGCCATTGGCATGTCTTTCTCTCGGTCACCATTTGGGTGTGATTGTTCGAAGTGTCATATTTCAGTCCTTGACCTCGAAATCAAATGGCAATCGCATGGGGTTGCTTCTGGTTTGTACATATAACGGCCGCACACTAAAGCTGTGGCATCCCAACCCCAACGATTTTAAGCCACAGAACGCGAACGCGTTGTTGCCTAAATGGTTGTACTTTGTCCTGCAATTTGTACCCACTTGAATGCTTTATTTGTGGGTACTATTCCGTAAGAAGCTAGAATCATTAGGGCTGGATAGTTTAGATTCATGCAGTAAACCAGGTAGTCAACAAAATGCGACATCCAACCCATGCACGTTTTTATTATTAGTGTTCTTGAAGATTGGTGTTCTTCCATTCAGTTAATGACCTTTCATGCATGAGAGTAGCCGGATGCCCTGCATTTGTGCAGCAGCCAAGCCCGAGGGTGACGTGGCGTATGATGTGCCTTGCCGTCTTCGTCGGGCTAAACTTGACGGGCGTGCGCCTGACACATTTAACCTCCCACGTGATACGCGATGCTTGGCTGAAATTTTAAGATTTCTTCTAGTGATCCTGCATGAAGTTCTCAGGCCTGACACCTTCGTAGTATTGTGGATCTGTTATTGAAAATGCGACTGCAGCCCACTTCACCATTGAAGAATGCAGCTTCAATCTTGTATTGCTACATTCTCAACAATGAGGTATTTCCTGTTACCAAAGCCAACCAGTTATGCGCATACTTTGCACCAATCGGAATGTGCTTTCGTCTCACCTACTTCGTTCCCCAGTGCAGAATATTATGAAGAGAGATCTGTCGACTTATTGTTAATTTTTTTCGGAGGCGTGTTGCTGGCGAATTTTATTGCCATGTTGACACTCATACGAGGCAGTTGAGGCCCATCTCGTCTGCATTGTTCGATGGTTCACTGGCGCACACAAACGATCTAACTTTGTACTTTGTTTTTGCTCCATTTCACACCGACTTTCACGCCTTTTGCTCTTTTCCCCTTGCCCTTAATACTTGTGGCTAGTACTGGCATTCTATGTTATCACTTGCAGGTATTGACCCAATTCCGTCAAGAACAACAGCATCTGCTGCAACAGCCAGCTCCTGTCGATTCCACTGTAGTTAGTGGCGACGAATCTACGCGCGTTGTTGACGTGGTGGCTAGTTCCAGGGCAGGGGAAAGCAACACTGCATTCTTAGTTTCGCTCCCCACCTCACTTCGCCGGGAAGTTCTCGCGGATATGGACGAGTCTCAGTTGGATACCCTGCCACCAGATTTGGCAGCCGAAGCTCGTCAACTGCGGCGTGAGAACGAGGAGCGTTTTGCTCGTGTAGTGCAGGGTAACATGCTCACGCATTCCTTCTCCTCCAGACACGACCGTGAGTTCTTTTTCTTTCTTCCACTCACCCTCTGGTTTTAGCAATGGATGACTCATCTGATCACTGTTGTTTGTACTAACATTTTCTTCCCGTACTCTAATAAGTTCCGAATCTATTTACCAGCTTTGTGACGGGCTGTCACGATCTTAAATTGTATCGAATAACAGATTCTACCTGACCCCCATCTTATAGCGACAGTACAGGTTTGTCGTTGTTCAACCTGATGTATGTGAAAGAATTTTCCTATTTGGGTGTAATCCTGAACACTGTTTCCACTTAAGTCTGTTGTGCTCTTGGAAATACTATCCTATCATCTTTATGATCAAAGTATCACCTGTGATTGCTCATATGCTTCATCTGCACTACACTTAGCTCCCTCTGCAACACGGCGTTTTCCTCCTACAAGGGTGTGCATCGGTGTCTGATCCTTAAGTGGCACCAGCCATCCGAATATCGCGCTTAGAAAGTCAGTTTATGTTTTTTTTTACCATGGCACGGTATTCGGCGTCATTTATTCTCTTGACGGTTACGTGCTATTTGACTTAGAAATTATTACTTTTCGGGCTAGATTACCAAAATACCTGACAGTTCAGTAATCTAGCGGGGGACTGGTATCTGTTTGGGTCACTCATGGCCTATTCGCATTAGTAATCTGCATTTCAGTGGAGGTAATTCCACAGCCTTCCTGCTGTTGTCAACTCTTGCCCTTCCCCACTGACTGCAACTGTTATATTGAAAGAAGTAGATCGCCATCTAGACTTTCTCATCCAGCCAGTGGAATGTGCACTTCAATCCACTCCCGAACGGACAGAACCGACGCCTGACATATCGCCGAAGGAGTGTAGCCGGGAAAAATCATATCGGAACGGGAAACCCCACTCAAAATTTTCCCTGAGTTTTTTTAGTTAGTAGTTGACAGTACATTCTTTGCTCTTTCTCTGGCTTTGTAACTGCGCACTCTTATAACCCATGTTTCTATATTATTCTCTCGGTCTTCAGTTTCTCACTGCATCCCGTCCACTTTCGTTTAATCAGGACAATTTGGCCACATTGTTCTGTGAACGTGTAGGATGGGTACTCCGTCATGGCTAACCCTGTTGCTCTGTTGCCATGTCGGGGGCTACACTGTCGAATCTGTAGTTGACATACACTGCTATGAATTTCCCCCTGTCTTCCTTTTCCATGCACTGTTTTGGTTACTTTCCGTATATCTCTATTATTCTCCTATTCACAGAAGACATTTGGCGTAACTTGACTTCCGCGACTGGCCTTATTGGCGGACCCGGCCGCTGGGACGTGCGTTTCAATTCCATCAATCAGTTTTTACGACACATCAACAGCGCTTTTGGTGGACGTCCTTGTGGCAATACTCTTGTTGGTTCTCAAAGTCTGCCAGCGATTCGAGGTCGTCACATGATGGACCATGAGGCCTTGACATGTCTAGTTGCCTTGCTCATCGCCAGTTCTACTTGCTCACAACAGCGGAGGCATGTCGTTCCCATTCTACGAAAGGTATGCGTGTCGATTAGATTGGCTGTTTCCTACTTGACAATTAGCTTACTGCTTCGGTTCCGATGTAACCTCGTCTGATCTAGTGTTCAAGTACCACAACTCTTCATCTCGTGGCTTAATCATTCTCTTGTCGTCGAGGCATTTTTCTCCCTATTTCAAATTCTATTCACACTGTCTGAGTTGTCCTCACGGTAGCAACAGGTTCATATGTTTCGCCTTGATATAGCTAATCAGGTGCCATCTCTCGCTCGTACTACTCCATGGTGACGATGAAGAATTACTCTCTCTGTGTTGTGACTTATCTTACATTGCGCACTGCTGCTTCTAACATCATTTGGGCTGCCTATGTCTTATTTCAGGTTCTACGCAACCTGTCTTGTCATCTCGCCACACGAAATTGGATCATCGGGACTCTATTGTCATTATTTGAAGGGCTTTCAGAAAAGCCCGATAAGGACGCAAGCGAAAGTCATTTGCAACAGATTGCTGAATCTGATCACTCTGCAATGCCAAATCCCACTAACACCATCTTTCATCTTGGCTTCGAAGCAGCCCTCGGTTGCTGGGTCCGTGTGTTTCATCCGGTCTCGGTTTCTTCAGCCCCATGTCCGATGGACACCGACAACGCCAATCGTAGGTCCTCAAAAGATCGTCCATCCGTGAGCGGAATTGAGCGCCCCGCTTACCCATCCTCTCGTGGGAGCTTGAGTTGCCGTCGTTACATCATTCATCCGCAAGCCGCTGTGTGTGTGTCTAGCGTGTTACTGGAGACCCTGAGCGAGCTCGCCAGAGCCTTTCCTTCTCAGTTCTATCCACGTTCACTTTCGGATCGGTCAGATGAGTCATCATTGTCAGAGTCTCCTCCACCTATCGAGTGTAAGTTCCCGCTTTCTCCTCACTAATTTTGGGTATCGTGCATCATTTAGTGATATCATTATCATGCATTTCAAGACTGCGTCTCTCTTCGCTTTTCACCTTTCTACCTAATACTGGTGCTCTGGTCTCTACTAACCGGGCTTTCACTGCAACCATAGCCCACATTTCCGCTAAAAGCTCGTTATCACCCTCCTATATTTCGAACTTGGATCGCGGGCCTTAAATCCTTTCTCATTCATTCACTACTTTCTTCGATCTCAGGTACTTTGGACACACTGTCAAGCGACGTATGCCCAACTTCATGTTGGAACTCCGCAGCCAGCTACATTGAGCATTTCATGCTTACAATTCATCATTCAATCACAACTGACTGTTCACAAGATTAGAGGGCACTAGCAGAAGCTGGGAATTCCACTACCTATCTGTTCTCAGCCTGAACGTAGTCACCGCTTCCGTCGCCTCCAGCATTTACGACGTTATTAATTTATCTGTGGGTTTTCATACTGGTGCATTCTGCACCCAACCGATAACGGAGTCGCTCAGGCGACTGATTTGGACCTCATAAGTCGCTTGTACGGTACTACCGTATTTGCGGTTGACCGCGCCGTATTCTAGCCCGCATATAACCGCTGGCGGTTGCGTTGCAACGCGACGTATCGGCGTATTTCTGAAGCCACAGTAATCACACTTTGATCGAGCTATGTAGTCAAACCTGACTAATTTCCACTTTAAGGTTGCTGTTAGTTAGTGCATATTTTCATCGTCTAGCGATCAACATATCATCTTGGATATGATAATGTTGGTGGTTCTTAGCTGTTTGTTCGTACATTTGAGATATTTCTCTGATTTATAGATGTGATCTTAAATTCGCTGACTTACTGTTGACTTTCCGATAAGGTTAGCGCCGGAAAATTTGGCCGTTGGTCAACTCTTCTCACCCTTAGTAACTTAGCACTATCTCCTCAATGCACCTGTAAAGTGTCCACGTTGTATCTTCCAGGGCCTACTCCTATTTTTTGGGAATTGTTTGAACGCTTGTCTGATTCACTCACGCCGAGCATCTCATCATCTCAACCTAAATCTGGCCGACGCGGTCATGGAAGTGCCAAAAAGCGCGATAGTTCCAACTTGAACAAACCACTTTCCGATTCATCACAAGTTCCCCTCGGGATACTAACGGACCTCAACCCTGAGCATCCTTCAGGAATTGTGCCAATGGATGTTACTTCCTCAGGTTCGTTTCCAGCTATGAGGCTGCCTCGTAGCTCTTTTATATAACTTCTACCTTTTTTACTTTCAATTGTTGGATTCGCATCTTTTTGTCTAGGTTCGTCGCAGTTAGACACAGACAGACAGCCACCACACATCCAGGAGAGCGCATCTCTTTGTTTCATACATCCTCTCCTAACTTCACCACCAGCCAACTGTTTGATGTGTGCATTCAGATTCCTACTCTTTTGCCTCATCCATATCATATATGTTCCCCCCGGAGATTGCTTTTCTCTACAAGTATGTGAAATCTGTAGGGCCTCAATACTCTGGTCCCGTGGAATGAGGTCTCTATCGCCGAATACCTGTAAGGTAATGAGCGGAAAACTCTTGAAATGCATCACTCGGTCACTGCGTAGATCTTCATGCGGACCTTAATTGATATCTATACGATTGATCCGCCTTCTCTGTGTTCCTAAAATTAGCACCGGTAGACCGTTCTTTCACAATGCTAGACCAATCGAAGTGAGTCATTTGTCGCACTAATTAACAGAGCCACGGCGACATAGTTTTCTTTACCATTCCTCATTTCCACGTTATATTTCATACGTACGCTACCATTTGTCTACGTGGCGCAATGTTGGAAATGTATTTTTGTGGCTGAAAAATGAGTCATTGAATGATTTACACACATACTGGTACGCTTATCCTCAATGGTGAGCTCGATCGAGTGCCGTGGGCGCCTATGCTCTGGATCCATGCGTATGACTATGGTCTGCAGCCCAACAATCGGTAGTGACAAACACGTCAGCTCTCAAAGCACACTGGACGCACCGTAGACTCAGTACTTCAATTATTCACGACGTGCGCACAAAGCAAGGTCATTGACGTGTTTTACAATAACCGTTTGTGCTCAACTGTACACTCACCTCTGTATTTGGACAATTAAAAGGGATTAACCCAGGTCCGTTTCTTCACAATCTCTATAAATTTGTACCTATTATGCCATCAAACGACGGTGGCTGTGGAAGAGTATCCGTGTTCTTTAGGGGCCAACTTTGTGTTCCGCACGCCTTTAACGCGCGTGGATTTGTATGCTGCATTTTACGCTTTACCACAGCTAGTTATTCGGGCATAACAGCCAGCACCATCCTTCCTGTTCCAGTGGTTTTAGCCACTGTCTCAAAAACACGGTCGCAGATTCTGGTCGCGCACCAGACATAGAATGCGCTCTACTAACTGTCACATATTGCTCTTCCCGACGTACACTGAGGGCTGCCACGGCGATTCTCCTTCAAAATTAACCCAAGCACTTTCTTTCACTACTGTCCAAACATAAAGGAAATGATAATCTGTAAATTTGCTATCCACGGTTGGTCCATCCTTGTCTCTTTTTAATTGAGTCTATCTCATTTCGGTGCCCGGACCACTTGTCGTGGGGAACTCAGGACAGAATTTCCCGTAGACTCTTACACGGCCTCGGTAATCACTGAAGTTGTCACGCCCTTCATGGATAGGCAATGCCGCAAGCTGGCGCGGTCAACAGAGCCGAAGGTGCTTTCAAGTCAAAGAATACCACCATTATCGGTCGTCTGTATGTGAGTTTCTGCTCTGAAGCTTGGCGAAGAATTGATATCTGGTCCATGCAACCATATCGGGGTGGAAGCCAGCTTGGTTTTCGGTGATCCGGTCCGCACGGGGACCAGTAAGTCGTCGAAGAATGATACCCGTGAGAACTTTGGAGGCAATGGAAACAAGCCTAAAGACTCAATGGTTTTCGCATAAACTACATTGACTCTTGAAAATTCTTGAAAGTGGGCACGACAGTTAATAGGCGCCAGTCTGAAGGCACTTCTTCAGTGTCCCAAATCCTGTTCAAAAGAGCAGCAAGTCCAGTCAACAAATAGTCACCACCATCTTTCAGCGAAGATGAGGAATTGAAACAATTAGTTCCCGAGGAAACTTTTAGCAGCTAAAAGATGGGGAAGTTCGTCGAGTCCAAGAAGTTTGTTTCGTTTCAACATGGAGAGCTCATGCCGAATCACTTCCAAAGTGGAAGGTGTGACATATACTTTTCACGTCGGCTCCGGCGATTCGGCAAGCGTCACTATCTCAGCTGGCCTGCTGAACTGCATTTCAAAATGTTCCGACTGCCAGGCTAGTCGACGACGCTGAGAATGGATCAACAGTCCATCTTTCTCAGTTGTTGTCTTGCTAACTGATGGCTTTTCCGGACCCGTGTTCTGGCTGTACTGGAATAGTACTCGGCTGTTTCTAATAGCGCTGACTTTCTCCATCTCACGAGCCTTTGCAACACATTAACGTCCCCGGTCAACTGCAACACTCCTTATCAGACGTCGTTTCAGGGAGTTACGGATACGCTGAAATTCAGTGCTCATCGAAACCCGTTTACGTGCTTCGATCAAGCTGGTCGATGACTCAGAGATCCATTCATAGTTACGTCTCAAGTCGGGTGCACAGCAAATGTCAAGGGCAATCTTCACGGCACGGTTGAGACGATCGCAGTCAGCGTTCGGCTCACCAACCTCGTTCATCACTGTCAATTGGTGGACCAGTTCGCTGTGCTGTTGTTGAACCGCAGATTGCAAGTTCAATTTAGATATGAAGGTTAGAAGATAGGCGCTTCTTTGAAATGGGAAGTGTGAATGCTAGATATTCGCACACTAGAGCATGTTTGGAAACCATACATGTGCTCCAGTTTGACCGGCAGCCTTAAACTGATGTACGCCACCTGTACCTAATGGCAATATGGTCAGTTTTATTCCAGGTCATTGAGGAATTCGGTGCGCACTAGGTGACGCGCTGTGAACATTTGTGCTGGAAAGCAGATCTTCGAGAATCGATCACCATTGTCTGTTTGGCGTGCACTAACTCCGAAGTGCCCTTCTAGGGGTTGTTCATAGTCTGCAAGACGACTCACTTGGGTATTCAACAGCAACAATCAAGATGTCTATTCTTCATCATGCGGAGAAGAGATGAAACATGGTAGTAGAAATCATCTTTCATACCCTCCGAACAGGCGATGAAATGGCACTTTGTCTTCATACGGTGCTTATTAACCCCAATAGAGGTTCGAAGTCGAACCGCACACAGGCGGCTGTTCACCGGTGTCCAATCGAGTAAATTAACTCCAGCATGTCTGCTGAGGGCGATACCAACACCGCAAATATCTTGAGCCATTGCTTCGGTATCACCAGAGAGGCGAAGAGTGTAGCCATTGTCGTCAGATTCAGAACCAGGGAGTTAAAGATTCCTCACGTCGATCTTATCTTGCATGCGTGTTTCGGAGACACAACACGCTAAGAGTGAAGAATGAGAGTCAGTGTTGTCTGCTGACCGATCTGACACCAAGTGCGGACGTTAAAAGACCAATGTGAGATGGGACTCCTGGTTTGATGGACGAGTTACGAGTATCGATGGCGGGTGCAGCGGGATTAGCAGCAGATTCTTGCTCAATAGTGGTGAAGAGAGTTGCGAGCTGAGAGACAAAATAATGAGGAAAAAAGGGAGTGTTGTCGATGTTGTCGAGAGGGCAGATGATACTCCGCGGTTGCGCATTTCTAGAGGGGTTTTGTTCGTGTTGCCCAACAGTTTGATCCACATGACAGTGGGGGATTTGCAGGTACGCTTGAGGGACTCCCCCCGGAGTCTTGGGCTCATTAGCCTGACCCACAAGACAGTGGGGAGGAAGTCCAGCTCGGGAGTGTGATTACTGAGACCCATTTGGATCCGCTCGAGACCTGTCACACACAGTCTTTGAAAATTTGGAACAATACACCTGTGTTTTATGACCGTGTTACATTACGCACCTGCGACCATGGCCATCCGCAGCTGGGAGTTGGCGGATTTGCACCAATTTGATTAGGGGCTGCTTAACTTAAGGCGGGCAGTAGCGAACCATTGAGCACCGGAAGGTGCCCTTCCACTCCTACTCTACGCCAATCGAACTGTGAGCTTGTTATCCGTAAACCTGTTGTCTCCCATGCCTACGTTTTAAAGGAAGAGGGCCATCGACCTCTCCCTAACCTCCGAATATCATTGGATTGTGAGACTGAGTTAGTCTGCCCCTAACATTCAACCTCTCTGGTAGGAGTGGCTCTGAAGGCACTTGGAAAGTACCACCCGGCATGGCTCAGAAGGTCACGGCATTACTCAAACCATCGCACTACGCTAAGGTCCAGTTTCGTTGCGTTGGGACGTCAGACGCCGATGACGATGGATTCCAGGTGCTAACAAGAGCTGCCCGTGACCCAATTTGTGTGAACGTGCGAACACTGCAGACGACCAGCCGAGTTTGTGGACTGGGTGCTACTAAAGGCTTACAAACACAGTCGGACCTACACAACTTTTACACAAGGTGTTTTTTCACTGGAACCTTAGGAAACAGAGGGGGGCTAGCGACACGGGTTTTTGAACACGCGTAGAATAAAGTAATTTGCCCGTGATCTAGGGAGCCAGGCCACGGCACCTCGATTGGAGATGACTATTTAAGGCGAGCACAGATAGAGTTATGAGTCGTTGAACCGTTGCTCCATTGATTGTGCCTCTCCGTTGATCCGGTTGAGGAGCTGAGTCGGCCTAGGGGACTCCACCCAAGGCCTTCAACCGTAACAACCTGACCCACATTGCAACTTTGGGACGGAGGTTTTCTACTCAGTAGGTCCTTTCGAATCTGAGACGAACGCACATGTTGCAGCTACTCTGCTTCGATACATACTGTGCACTCCACTCGACTTTCTTCAATTGTACTGGTGTCGCCGTACGTATCCTACACTGATGTTATTTCGGGGGCTCATCGCTTGACGAATGCCTTCATAGATCGCGGACGCGGCATCCGCTATCCCTGCGTCGGTTTCAAGATAAAGATTATCACTTTCCCGCTACACCTTACAATTGCTAACGTCGTGCTTTTCGTTTTTATATCAGCCATTCTAGTCGTTACTTGAGTTCATCCATCAGCTTTTTTTTCTCACAGATATTGCCACTACTGCATCCATGCTATAGCAGCCACTTTCTACTGCCGTAATGGTTATGGTTGCTTGAATGCTATCCAACATGTCATTACCCCGATGTTTAAAAACCGTGAAATTTAGTCCAGGGTGCTCCTAACAGGATTCACCTCCTGCTCCGACCATCACTGCACTGTCAGGACTATAACTGCTTCCTGCTTTATGCAATGTGCCGCTTGCGAATCGTTTCATTTGCTACACCAACCGGTTGCCTTGTTGTATCAAGCTTTGGGTTAATGTTGGCGTGTCTTTTTTTAACAGCAAATCTTTGTCCTCCAATCTCCTCTTCTTCGCATCAGTGTTTCATGGTATTTTATTGTCTTTTTCGCACTCCCCTCTTTTAGATGCATCGCCATGTGCCCAGTCAACTTCCCTGCATCCTCTACGGCGTTCCACGGGCTCTGTTGCAGGAGTGGAGTATTTTGTACACCTGTCAAATCTACTTTGTCATCCCTTGGTCCAGGATAGGACGTCTCATCAAGAGCGGATTCTCACCATATTGGCTGGCATAATAAAGGAATTTATTTCAAACCGTGTTTCTGCTGCTGGTGCGTTGGCACCATCTACTGGAGCGGCCGAGTCCGGCGAAACTTTGGTGCGTGGTGATGAACCAGAGTCAGCGGTACGTGTATTCATCGCACTTAATTCGATTTTTACCTTCACCATACCTGTTTCAAAAACTATCGATCATGCTTTTTCTCTTCTAGCCATCGTCGAACGATGTGCCAACGGTCTCAGCAGGATCCGTCGGGGAGCCGCCAGGTCGGGTTGAAGTGCCCAAGGAACATCCACATTCTGAAGCTCCCTCCTCGATAGATCTCGTCGCTCCACTGCGAACCGAAGTTGTGAAAATGTTATGTCAGTTTGTTTTAGCTCCAAAGTCCACAGAGTCGGGACGTAATATGGCAGCCCAGCTGATCACTGACCTGGCCCGCGCTAATCGAGTGACGAAAGATTTCATGTTACGGCTGCTGTCTGAATCCGCTGACCAGTTGACAAAGAAGTTATGCTCACAACTACAGGTGTGTTACTCAATTTGTGGACGTCCATTACAATCTCTTGATTATTCTCTATGCACGTAACATTCAAATTTCGGTATTCATTTCCGCACTGTACTTTCTGTCGAAAACTCACAATTTTCCACCTATAGTCGTACGCCTGATGGATCCTCTCAATCCTTCAATAATATCCACTGGCGCACCGAACTCTTGCGTCAACGAAATAGGTCTCCCTAACACTTCTGCACAGACAGGATAGTATTTTTTGCCTCTACTGATAGGTTGGTCAGTTCTCTATTGTAACCCCCCTATGGCCGTCCAACTTGCTACATTACCCAAAAAATCGACGTTTACAACGAATCATCAGTTAAACAGCATGGCTTCCAGCTCCTCATTCTGATCCGGATGCTTCGAGACCATTGCCTTCGATTGTCGCAGCTGATATTTTTTGAGAGTAGTATGGCAGTTTACCGATCTTCCAACTTCACTGACTCACTTTTTACTTCGGTCGGTGAATCAAAATCCTTACCAACTGCTTTCATTCGCTCTGACTGCTCTAGAGAGGCAGCAATGAGTCAAAAAAAACGGATAACGAATTGCGTTTGGTGGGTTTTTCTTCTATTTAATTTGTGACTCAAGATATCTGCATCATTCATTCACTCTTGCCCTCCTGGCTTGAGGAGAACAGCTCAGCGTTCTACTACTTTATGTTTCTTGTGCTTGTCTCTCTAAACCGAAGTTTTCCAATGATCTTTCTTCTCCTTGCGACTTTGGTGGCTTGGTTTGTTTACGTTTGACTAGTGATCCTGGCATCCCTCACCACACTTAATTCATTCCGGTCCTGCTCTGTTTTTCCTTTTATTCTTTTAACGCATATTCCGCTTTTTTACTTGTGTAGCTATCTTCTTCTTCTCCACATTCACCTTTCCCCGTTTTCCTTGTGCCATTGAGATCTTGCACCGCCCAGTTTACTCCCCTGGAATTCCTGGCATATCTGAACACACACGGCAGGGTCTACAACCAACGATTATTAGTGGAGTAGACAAACAGTATCCTAACGCCTCAATTTTCTGAGCGTCGTTGGATTTTTCACTTACACGCTTGTCCATAACGCATTTGTGTTATTTGTTTTTCCAGTTTATTCTTCTGGATCTGTTGCATTCTTTCACATTCGTTTTGCCATTGGCGCTCCATACTGCGATCATCGAGCGCACTTTTGCGTCCTCTGTTTGGCTCACAAATTCGATAGTGATGGGCGGCTTGTACTTACCTCAAATAAACAACCCACACGGGGTTCGTTGCTTTTAAACAGACAAGCTCTGTTAACTTACTACCTTTACCTTTGTGTTGATGGTTGCCACCTGGGCTGCCCATTCGAACACGCTTATAATCCATTTTCGTATATACTCCAACTTATAACAGGCAACGGACTGTCGGAATGGCGACACCTGCGCAGCTCTTCTTCATTCTTTTAATTGTCGCTGCGGTATTCGAGACTGAGCCATGCAGCGGATTAACATTCTAGCCCCTGCTCGTCACCTTACTGTATAATTGAGCCGGGACTATCCGCTTCTGGTCACTACCATTTATGGGTTTGTCCTCTTAAAGGGGAACAACCGCGCTATTCGCTCACAGATTTTCCAACTGATCTCAAGTATTCATCATGAATTCCTTCGACTGAACACGTGTTTGTTGATTGTTCGACTATCTCTCTCCTGCATGAACGAATGCATGATGGCAATTTACTAGCGGCTAACTGGATGATAAGCTGTGAAATCTAGTCGTTTCAGGGTATCCTGATCCTACATCTTTTCCATCAACTTTCTAAGTATCAGATGTATCAGAAGACGAAGACGCTAGGTTAGTTTAGTCGTTTCACTAACTGCCTGTCCAAATATGGCTCGGTCGATAGACGATGACGTTACGAAGATGAACACAATGCCTAACTGCATTTAAGGTCCTGTTGTAGCCTGTACTTGTGTACCCGGTCCGTCGATCAACCTGTCGTATACGTATTAACTACTAGACACTATTCCTCTGTCAACTGGAGATTATCGTGTGGACTCACCAGTTTTATCCACCTTTTCGCACATGCGCTTAGTCGATCATCCTTAGATACATTTTTTGATAGCATCAAACGCTAATCAGGATCATTCGAATGAATTTTCCGCAAATGTAGCGTAGTCCATCCATGGTGTTCTTGCTGGGAAAATCAGCGACGGTTGAGTTGACCCGATTTGGCTGTCTTCATTACGATGTTTGTCACTGCTCAGCACAGCAGCATTTCTTCCATATCCCTTTCAGTAACCCCCCCCCCCATTTCATAGGAGCACGAAGACGACTTTTACCAGACATATTTCGTGGATTAGTTGTAGCGTAGACCTCGTGACTTAGTTCACTACATTTATGTATGACAGTGTACTATAGCAGCGTCTCTAATACATCGAAACACCTTCTATCGATTAGTAGCTGCTTACCTACGATCACACTCAACATTTGTGTTATGTCTACTCTGGTGATGCTACGATCGTTATTGATCTTTCTACCGATCAACCTTGTAGTTCTGATTCGGCCTACAAGTTATGTGTACCGTTTGTAACATCCTACATCTCAATCTTTGGACCTTTTAACTCACTTTTCTGGAGTGGGTTATTTATTACAGTTTCGATGTCATGTAACAGTTATACGCGTGTGCTGATCTAGTAGTCAAATTCACATCGCATTCTTTCTTTACATAGGGTCACTAGTAGTTTCATTCTTGACATAGCTTTGCTCGGTCGTTGCGTTGGTTCACCAGACAAGTGTGTGTGACATCCACGAATTTCTAATGCAAGCAGCCGACTATGAAAATGGAACAAGTAACTGGTTTTATGCAAAAACATGTGTTTTCACTATGTAGTTGCATTTGTATAACCGAGCATCACTAGCTACTGCTGGCCAATCCGTACCGCGGGTGTATATGTTACCCACTCGAGGACCATTCGGAATTGTGTTAGAGGTTGCGATTATTCTCCCTTACTGTATCCTAACATTGCTTGGACTCTGTCCAGCTCTGTGTCTGATACGCGCTTCGTGTCAATACTATGATGGTGGACGAAGCCACATTTGATTAACCACGGACTTTTATGCTTGCGGGGTGCCTCGGAGGCGACGGCCAACCCTGAGACAGTCGCGGCGATCACCCACGCGCTTCTTGCATTTGCACTGAATGTGGAGAGTGTGGTTGTGTATCGCAAGCTATCCACAATCCCGCTGTGGACGCGAGTGTGATGTGACTTTTCGCAGACACATTGATAGACGAATTTAGAAGCGCATACCAACAGCTATTGTAGTCTCCTAGTGAGGTTGTCACCGATAGGTTTGCACGCGGGTTATCCAAGGTGCTTACCGCAGCTTGCAAACTTCGTCTCATGCATGACGGTTTTAATGATGCACTCGAACATTTTGCACAGCAGTAATTGTAATGCACTATCCTCGAGTGAACCGCTTTGGCTTCATTTTGAAAGTGAAGTATATAGATTACCGACTCGTGGGGACATCACTATTTCATCTACTCCTGCTCTTCTTTGTTATACGTGCTATCCACTTACATTATCAATGTAGCACATTTTTTAAATGTTAGCGGACTTACGAGTTAACTAGACTGTTCTAACGAGCTTCTCCCTTATGTGTTGTTTCGCCTCATTACTCTACCTGGGACATGTCTATTGCAACCGTTGCCTCTTTAGTTGTACCACCATCTTTTAGAACGGTTTCCTGGTGGCAGAGCAAGATTCGTATCTTGCGCATTGTGCTCCGTGCAGGAGATTAGCTAATCGAATTCGGAGTTGACATACCCTGTGAGACTTCGTCGTCCGACGATTTTCTGCCCGAGAAAAAAACATTGACCCTCGGTGGAAGCGCTTGCGTAGGTTTTGCCAAAGGTGACGTACAGTCTTTACGGTTTTTATTTATACCCGGCTGACTTCGTTATCGAAAGTTGGCAGAATTACCATTTGATGAGAATGGTAACGAAGTGGATTATCTGTTATACCGTTTGCGGTATCCTGGGGGAGAGAACGGAGCTAATTGCCATACGTTGTCACCGGCAGAGCATTTGTTAAGCGTCCCACATTAACAATGTGGCGGCGTTTTTGTGGAACTATGAGAATTCGACAACAATGTCAACCCTAAGTTCCTCCTGGCGACTGACTTGAAACAGTTACCATGGTTTTTTGCACTCCCTGTTCGCGGAGACTGCTTCCAGAAACTGTCCATGTGTTGCATGTTGACTTCTCTCGCATTGCATGCCCTTAATGTACTCTACCCATTTAGTACTTACAGTCACATTCTTTGTCCATCTCTTATTTATGTTCGGAAATTTACTAGCTGTTACTATTCTTCTTGCTTTCATGAATGCCTCCAGACTAATCTTTACTTGGGTGTATCGTACCCCACTTTCTTTTCACTCGTTTCCAGTTTTATCCTTCCGCTTTTGATTCCTCTTTGTCTCTCTGCTCCTCTTTCAACCCTAGGACCTGATGGATGAAATTGCCTCATCGTCATCAGCTGTCACTAGCCCCACAGCAACACCCGGTCCTTCGACATCCTCTTGGGTACAACCTTCCAGAAGTGGCTCACTGGACGTTCTTCCCGATCGGTTTGGCGGCTCGGGCCAATATGTTGTTATCTCAGGGGAATCTCGACCTGATGCTCCCACAGGTTTCAGCGAGTTACACCTTAAATCGGTCCAACCACTCTCATGCCCCAATAATGATCAGTCCAGACTTCGTGGCATCCTCGGTCTAATCGTTCGTCTGGCAGCAGGTGAAAGCTCAATCAGTGCAACTGATCCTGTTTTAGTATCTTCGCATGATCCTTCGGAGTCTATCCCTTCCTTGCGGGACTTTTGGCCTCGAGTCAGCGCCGCTTTCGAGCAACTGCAAACAATCAGTGATCCGAATTCGGTTCTTCTGTTGCAACCCCTGCTTGAAGCATTCTGCCTGGCTCATCTGTTCCTGGTTAAAGACTCCATTATGATCCGACAGCGCTCAATTACCTCTCGGTCAAATCGAACCAATCCGACCGCAGCTAACACTGGCACGCATAGTCTCATCGATATGGTTCCCACGTTACAGCTTCGGGTTGAACCACCGGTTCTAAGTACCGATAGACCTGAGACTACCGGTCCCTCTGCTAGTGAGCAGACAACCCACTTGCATGTGGACATTATGGGGCCAATGTCGCCCTCAGCCCCAATCGAAGAGGATAAAACGGCTGGTGATGCACCATATAGACGTACTTCAGTGGTTTCCTCCTCCTCCTCCGGCAATCCAATTTTACAGTTTGCAGAGCAACACCGAAGTGGGCTAAATCAGGTTTTACGCCAAAACAGTTCCAATCTGGGCGAGTCACCATTCGCTGTGTTTCTTGTTTACTCGAAGGTGTTGGACTTTGATATCAAACGTCGATTCTTCCGACAACAATTGCAGTCACTGTCACCGAGGTCCAACATGTCCAACAGGTATGACGATGAACCAATTGTCATTTCACGTGATCGCATCTTTGAGGACAGCTATGCTCGCTTGCACCGGAGATCCGCCTCAGAATGGAAGCATAAATTCGTCATCCGGTTCCAGAGTGCGTTTCAACTCATCTGTAGATAATGTGTGCTTATTTTTCATTTCACTCGAGACCTCTTTTTATTGAGGTTGTTATGGTTTTTCTTCACACTGCGGTACCTTAGATATTCATATATTTTCCAACGATTGATCTATGGGAGTATTGTTGTCCACAATCGAGAAGATGCCGTTTATATTCAATGTTAGATTTGCGTCATCCCGCATTCCTTTTGAAGATCGTGTGTGTATTTTTCTCGCCAGCATCACCAACACAACTTGGTGCACTTACCTTACTTGTTAGCTTAGATCATGTACGATTATTGGCGCACCAACCTGTTGGTCATCATCTCTTTCGGCCACGTGACTGGGGTTTCTCATTTTAATGATCTGGTCTCACCCAGTGTACCATAGCTGCAAAACTGCCCTATTCCTGCTCCACAAATCCGCACTAATTTTTCCCTTTGGTCACTTCTTGAGGTTAATCCGACATAACAACTATAGCAATTTAGCGTTGGTGATATCTTGGACAGACTGCGCTATTAACCACAAAAACGCATACGTTTTTTCATGATATGTAGTAAGCTCCAAACATAGCTGTTTCGCTAGTCTATTTTATGCGGTTCAACACGGAATTCATTAGGTTTGGTTGAACACGAGCCTTTCTCATTCGGTACTGTTCCTTTGGGATACATAGTGGATTAGCCCGATGCTGCACACCGTATCTTGTATTCATTACCACACGACTGTTTAGAAACACCTGTCTTTTACTGATCTGGTGAGGATATTTTCGGTGTTTGTTACTTCCGGAGGGCCTTCACAGTTATAAAATGCTCACCCTGCATGATTTGTTTTCCAGACGAAGAAGGTCAAGACGCTGGCGGCCCTTTACGCGAGTGGTATTTACTCATGAGCCGGGAGATCTTCAACCCCAACTACTGTTTGTTCCGAACCTCCCCAGCCGACCGTGTTACCTACACAATCAATCCGAGTTCATATATTAATAGCAACCACTTGTCTTACTTCAAGTTCGTTGGACGCTTCATTGCCAAAGCCATTTATGATAACAAATTGCTGGAGTGCTACTTCTCACGATCCTTCTACAAGCATATTTTAGGCGTTCCTGTAAAGTGAGCGTTTTTGGCTCGTCTTCTTGATGTCATATTTCACTTTCAACAACCCTCCATTGTCTCCCGTTTTGCCCTACTTTTCCTGGTTTACCCTGTTTTTTTCTTGTGATGCGTTGATTTTTCTGCCGTCCGAGGTGGACTGGGCCTAAAGCGTTCTCTGCGCTGCGTGCACCGCTCATTGTGCGACTAAATCGACAGAGAGCGCCAACTACAGATTGTGTTACCTATTGACGATCTCACTTTTTGATCCCAACCGCCTCGTTAATTTCTTTAAGTTTACTCCTCACTGTAGCGTCGTCACCGTCCACTTATTAACCGCATTCACTACGCGTTAACCTTCATTTTCCTTGTTTTTTACTCACACTGAGCGTATCTCATTTTTTGTTACTAGGTGTTCTGATCTGGAAAGCGACGATTATGAATTTTACAAGGGACTGGAATTCCTCCTTAAAAACCATATATCTGACTTAGGGTATGAGTTGACTTTCAGCACTGAGGTAGGTTGAGTCTTCCATTTTCGCTGGTGATTTGTTTTATTTACCCATTCTCTTGTTTACATTTTTCCTACCGTTACTCGATTTTGTTTCCTGCCTTACTGTATCAACCTTCGCATTGTTGACTTGTACTTTGTGCTCGGGCGAATTCAATGACTTGTATCTGGTCCACTGCAATTGCTCATTTCCCACTACCAGCTATGCTTACTTTGATAGCTGATGACTTCATGCGTTGCATCACACACGATGCTTAAGTGTAATGCTTCTGCTTGTCATGCTACTTCCTTCAAACTCCCTCCACTGTCGTCTTGTTCCCGCACACGCCCTTACAAGCTTTCTTTCTGTTGTCCATCTTCTCTCACCAAAAGGCGATATTCCCAGTATGCGTAACAGATATCTGCATATACGTCGCTTGTGCTTTCTCCGGACTGTGTTTCAACTCTATTGACAGACACTTCATCATATCAACCATAGCTCTCTATGTCGTAGTGACAGCCACTAACATCATTTCTCATTGGAACGAGCTACACCGCATTTCGGGTACCTTCTTTTTGATATCCCTGTGATTGGCTAAACATTATGGTGGTCTTCACCTGTGCGCTCAGGGATTGCCTATTTTCAGACAGTCTCCTGTGTTAGGTTGGACATCACAGCGTTGCCCACTCATCATATCCACTACAATCTGGTGGGCCGCACGGACTCCCCAATCTTGCCAACGTTTGCACTCATAGGGGATAGGCAAGGGGGCACAAAGACTAGTTGGTGATGTATGTGGTCATCATAACCAAAGACATCGATCTAAGACCCCACCTTAGTTGATTCGCCCGAGATTGAAGTGGTATCAAGCACGCAACTTTTAAGGCATCGTCGTTATCTGCCTTCTTCCTTTACATTGGGACTTCATCTTCGTCCATCCGATTTTCTCTTGAAGTTGACGTGTACCAATGTGGTAATACCAGCACGAATATTCTTTCATATTTTTCTGTTATGTCGAATCGTGGCCTAAAGGTAACGAGCTTGTCTTGCAATCTGACGGCGCGGGTTCGAGTCTGCGTAGGGGCAGGAGGATCCTCACAGTATCCTTAGCCCATGTGCGTCGCTACTGTTTACCGGAATACTGCTTATGCCCCCATGCAATTTTCTTGACAGCTTAAACGCAACTCGCCCTAGGAGCACTGACAATGGCAGCATGTTTTGCTGTAGCAATGGCGCGACATTTGTCAGACATGCGACCAGAAAAGTTCAGTTCCATCGGCAGAGGCAATAACTTATAAGGAAATGTTAAAGTGAAAGTGTTTGACTTTCTACCGGTGAATTGTGGGTGTACTAAAGTACCAATATTGTGTTCACCAGATTGCTACCTGGGAATTGCTCATTTTCAGATATATTAGTAGTCGAGAAATATAAGCTTGAGAAGCTGCGAGAACTTTTTTGGAGGTAGTTGGTGATAAAAAGTTTTAGTTGTATGTTGTCACGTAAACTACGGGCAAACTCAACATTTCCAAGACTTAAACGCGCAGGTCGGTAGACTTGAAGTTGAAAAGCGTGCACTCGGTAGTCAACATGTCCCTGGCACTCGCAGAATAGATAACTGTGATCGCCTACTTCAGCTGTGCCGGTCACAGGTTCTTCCTGGCGAGTACTACCTTTCGGCAGTCCTGGCGCCAACGCTCGACCTGGAGGCCTCCGTCACCTGACCAACCATGGACGCAGATTGACCACATCGCCATCACTTATCGTTGGCGGGGCTGCATACAGGATTGCAAATCAATCTGGAGTACGTACCTCACTTAGACTACGCGCTCGTGTGTGCCAAGATTGTTTTACGTCTTGGTGGCTCCCAACGGTGTCGCCGAAAACGGCTTGACGTAGCCCAACTTTCTGTTCCAAGCGTTCTCAGCGTGTTTCAGGATACGTTGGCCTCAAATCTCAAGAACGCCATATGTTTTGACCTTAAAGCGCACTGCGCACACCCTTAGTGCTATGCACAACTCTGAGACTCTGGTCTGTGGTTTCACCAGTAGTCTTGTCACCCACTGGATCTCTGCACGATCCCTCCAACTTATCGAAAGTCGTCGAACAATTCCAATTGGTGTTGAGTCTCATTCACTACGCAGAACCACTAACGCTGAATTCAAACAGCTCCTAAGGGAAGACCGCGAGGCCTGGTGGACGCAACGGGTCATTGATATGGAGCAAGCAATCAGCTCAAGGAATTTCCGAAAGCTTTTCCACCTGATCCGATCTACTGGCGGCAAAAGGCCGACTGTAAACGAAGTTTTGTTCGGAACCAATGGCGAGCGAATCCACTGCCAACGACGTCAACTTGTGCGTTAAGCTGAGCACTTGAGCATCAGTCCAACTGGTCTGCAGCACCGTTGATTCCTCATTCGGGAATCCGTAGTGCTCCCTGGTGTGTAGACACTTCGCCACCTTCTAAAGCTGAGGTAGCTCATGAGCTTCGACTCCTATAGCGCTACAAAGCCTCTGGCCTGGACAAACTCCCTCTGGCTCTTTTCAAAGACGGAGGTCCATCCCTTGTTTGGGAGCTAACTTCTCCAAAAGATTTGGACCACCGAAGTAATCCCGTCCAATTGGAGTCTGGCGAATATCGTGCCTGTCTTCAAAAAAGTTGCCCGGACGGACTACGCAAACCACAAAGGGATTACTCTCATCTACTTTGTCTCTAAAGTGCTCGCCGCCCTGCTTTTAATGAGGCTCAGCCTGGTACACGAACAAAACCTACGCAAAGGGTAAGCTGGGTATGTATATATATATATATATATATATATGGTTGGCGGCATCCGGTTTCGGACTTGCCTGTCACTGTGGCCAGCCACAGGACGCATGCGTCTACAGAGGAACCATAGGTGGCTTGCGCTGCGCCACCCAGAGCTCCAACCACACACCCATATCCAGTGTAAACCCGAAGGAATAAGACCGGGAGGCATGTGGATGGGAGGCACGTTTCATCAACGGAGCCCGCCAACACTCCTTCACAGGCAAACGCAAGCACACTGTATTTGGGAATCAAGCGCACACAAGTCGGTGGCTGGACCTTAGTCCGCTCCACTCTGAGTGCATGGAACCACTCTTTGAGCCTAGCACGGCCACAAGAACCGTGCACCCCGTCCCCTCCAGCAACGACCAACTGTCTCCTAGAGCCAACATAGACGAGGTATGCACCTTGTCAACATGCACATCAAGCGCAGCCACACTGGGGATTTCAAGCAACAGCCAATCACTTGAGAGAAAGCTAGCAAAGAAAATAAATCTAGTAATGCATAAGGAAACGTAACATAAATCTTAAATTAATGAGCACATGAAATAAATTGTTAAAAAAGGATGCGAGATAAGTTCAGGGGGTCAATGTATATTTTACGGAAATGACACAAACGCGAAAACGTTATCGAAATTAACTACAGTTGGCTTAAGCTAGTTGTGCAGGTTTATAGAAGAGCGTACAGATGGACATTTATATGAGAAAGAAAACCATTAGGACAAAATTGGAAACCCACCACCAGAAATAAAGAGACTTAGCATGCAAGCACGCAGTTAGTAAATCGAATGCAACGTACCTACAAACGCTGCGCCGGTTCTGCCTACGTTCTCTGCAGGACCCGTCGTCGCTTCGGTAGTGGTCCCGAGTGGCCTCGCTCATGGCTCACTAAGCCTGCCTGACTCAGGCACTCGCGACCGCATGTGCTACAGCACCATGCGCTTGATGTCGATGGAGAACAACCCATCTGTGCTTGCCGCTTCCGCACTTACCGCTTCTCTGCATGTATGAGGGCTTTCTCCTGCACCTCGGCAACTGCCTTCGTGATCAGATCGCGCCATGCACGCCGATCAACCGCCTTCGATTCTCATGATCTGCAATCAAGATTAGAACGTGAGAGGCTCACTTTAATCATGTCCTGGTAACGTAACTTTGGTTTCCCCACCTGTCGCTTCCCTATACTCAGCTGATCATACAAGAGTTGCTTCGGTATCCGCGTTGAATCCATACGGCTCACATGACCGAGCCATCTCAGATGTCTCAGCAAAAGTATGCAGTCCACTGCATACATTCCACTACGGCGCAACACTTCCATGTCTGCACTCTGTCGCCCCAACCAATGCGTAAGATCTTTCGCAAGCACTGTTGATGGAACCGCACGAGATATCGCACATCCCGCCGGTACATCGTCCAGGTTTCACTGCCGTATAGAAGAACGGACAGCACCATGGATTTGTACACCATCAGCTTTGTGCCAATGGTAAGCTGATGGTTGTTCCACTCTCGGTACTCAAGCGCCCCGAATGCCGCCGCTGCCTTCGATATGCGGATACGAAGCTCACTGTGTATCTACTGATCAGTCGACATCACACTCCCAAGGTAGCAGAAGCGGGAGGTGGTTTCCAATACCTCGTCACCATTGCTGATTTGCGGCAATATTGAAGTTTGCACCTCCGGTGAAGGCTGCAAGAGATGGACAGTTTTGCTTGTGTTGATGGTGAGCCCGAATTTGGCCGCTGTCGAAGCCAGAGCACTAGTCATACGCTGCGACTCATCCGCGCTGTGTGAAAACAACGCACAGTCGTCAGCAAACAGCAACATACGGATAGTTGTCTCACAGACTAGAGTTCTCGCACCGAAACGACGGATGTTCAGCAACCCACCATCAATACGGTGCTCCACACGAACACCATAAGCACAAGCGGCATCAAAAGTACAGGACAACTTTGCATGAAGATATATATTAAACAGAGCACGAGCTAAGACACAACCTTGCTTCACACCAGTGACAACTGCAAAGTCATCCGAGGTCTCTCCACTCAGCTGCATCCTCGCTCGCATACCACGGTGCAGACATTCAATTAAGCTTACAAACTTACGCGGGCAACCAAACTTACCCAACACCAGCCACAATGTCTCGCGGTTCACAGTATCAAATGCCTTGATGAAATCAACAAAAGCGAGTACAATGGCTAGTGTCGTTCTCTGCACTTCTCTTGCAACT